CACACACACACACACACACACACACACACACACACACACACACACACACACAAACCCACCCAACCACCCAACCAAGCCAGATATGGGGGAAATAGAGAAAGATCATTGTAAATGCAAATGCAAGACTTGGCCTGCACAAGTTCCAGGCCTTCAAGAGCTACATAAAAGGAGGCTGTGTTGGTTTAAAAAAAAAAAGAGGGTGGTGGTGGTGGAGTGCAGCTTAGAGTCAGATCTGGGTTTATTTTGGGCTTTTTTTTTTTTTTTCTGGGACATAAGTCTCATGTAGCTGAGGCTGTCCTGGAAATTGCTATGTAGCTGAACCTTGAATGCTTAATCTTGTCTCTACTTCCCAAATGCTGGGATTACAGGCATATGCTATCATGCCTGGCCAGATACAGGTTGTGTTCTGACTTTGCCACCAATAACTGAGTAATAATGGAATAGCTCTATAACTATTCCCTCCGTGCTCCAAGAATCTAAGTGGCAGAAATGGTTGTTCCAAGAAGATGTACTGAGGTGGGTAGGAGAGAGGCCACGATTGGGTGACTGAATCTTGCATGTTGATGTCCTTGCTGTCCCTAGGGAACTAGTCTTTGGGAAGAGAGGAATAAAAGAGTGTGGAGAAGACAAAACCTCCAGGTTGTTTTTACAAAAGTTTTATTATGATGTACAAAAGACTCCAAGACAACACTTCACTCTTGCTATATGGGGCAAAAGATGTTATAGCAGGGAACATTTACATGGAAATGGAACAAAGGGCCTCCAACATTTCAGACACAACGAACAGCTTACTTTTTGCCAGAGTTTTTAATTCCACCTGTTGTCAGAGGGACCGTTCCCTGTGGCCTTTGCTTTTAGCTCCTTAAGTTTCTTCTGCTGGACGTTGTGTATCTTCCTCAACCATCTTCTTGGCCTCCAGCTGCTTATGCCACCATCATGACCAGACATGGCACCTGCCACTCTTTCCCTGGGTTATTTATTAGCCCCTTTTGGAACAGGACTGTTCTTCGGACACGCCAGGCAGAAAACAGCCACATTTACCACTCCAGTTGAACCACAAGCACACTTTGGAGCAGTGGCAGTTGCCCCTGGGGATCCCTGGGAATAGCTAAGGTATGAGGAGGTTCAGAGGTCTATGAAAAACCTTCAAGGTTCAGAGTTCCAGGAACTTGGTCTTTGTCCAGGTCATACCCAAGGAAGAGAAGCTTTCTTTTCATGTTAACAATGTATTATACAAAAGATGAAATTATAGCTTAGTAATAAAACAGCTATGACCTATCAGGAATTCTCCATCTCTGCATCTGTCTTTTTGTTTGTTTTGTTTCTTGTTTTTTTAAAAAATATTTTATTTATTTATTTTATTATTATTATTATTTTGTCTTTCTGAAGCAGGGTCTCCTTGTAGCCCCAGCTGTCCTGGAACTCACTATGTAGACCAGGCTGGCCTTGAACTCACAGAGATCTGCCTGCCTCTGCCTCCCAAGTGCTGGGACTAGGTGTGCACCATCATGCCTGGCTTATTTATTTATTTTAAAATATTTTATTATTTTTATTTTATGTGTATGCGTGTATTTCCTGCATGTATGGAAGTGCACCTGTGTTGTGCAATGCCCTCGGAGGTCAGAAAAGGGCGTTGGATCCCCTAGAACTGGAGTTATGGACAGTAGTTAGCTGCCATTTGAGTGCTGGGATCTGAACCCGGGTCTTCTGCAAGAACATTCAGTGTTCTTAACTGCTGAGCCATCTCTCCAGCCCCCTTTTGTTTTTATTATTTTTATTACATGTGTATGAATGTATTGCCTGCATGTATGTAAGTGCACCTGTGTCATGCAATGCCTGTGGAGGTCGGAAGAGGGCATCAGATCCCCTGGAGCTGGAGTTATGGACAGTTGTTAGTTGCTATGTGGGAATCAAACCTGTGTCCTCTGTAAGAAAAGCCAGTGCTCTTAACTGCTGAGCTATCTCTCCAGCTCGTTTCTTGTTTTTTGGTTTTTTTTTTAAAGACAGGGTCTTCCTGTAGCCCCAGCTGTTCTGGAACTCACTATGTACACCAGGCTGGCCTTGATCTCATGGAGATCTGCCTGCCTCTGCCTCCTGAGTGCTGTAACTAAAGGCATGTGCCACCATCTGTTCTGATTCTTTGGTGCCCCTTCAATACCATGTTAAACTTTTACCTCTCATTCCAAAGTTTATGGTTAACTCAGCTTAGAATGCCTGATTTTCCATCCTTGGAAGGCACTAACCTGATATTGATGGTAGGAGAGGCAAAAGATACAGAAATAACAGAGGAGATATAATTCCTAGTCATCAGAAGGAATCAATGGTCCATCCACATCAAAATGGCTACGACAGGAAATGTAAGCCTCATCCATGATGCTCTGGCCAGCCAACAGTGGGTCACCATGGGGCATGATATCTTCAATCTTTATGTTGTTTCTGAAGACTAGACAATGCAGAGACAAAAGTCAGACCCTGATCCAAGTTACAAGTGCCTAACCCAGAAGGGAAGTGAGGGAGCATGGCAGGAAGGCATGCACAGGCCTGCAGAGGCTCTTGGAAATGGAGGAACAGGGTAGGTCAGGGAAGGGGATAAAAGGGATAACCAGGAAATGAATGAGGAGCTTGGAGCTTGAGTGAGAAAAGAGAGGTAGTATAAGGGTATCTGCCCCCTTCCCTAGCCCAGCCTTATCACTTACTTTCCATTTCCATGGTGTTCAACTGCTGCAGATCATGGGGCAAATCTGGCTCTTGCAATGGCTGCAGTGCAGGTCTCAGGTCTGGCCCCAGCATTCTTTGTGGGGCCATGCATAGTGAGGGCTCTAGATTCAGATCCAGTCCTGCTTTCAGCAGTGACTCTAACTCCAGGTCTTGTCCTAACTCTGTCACTGACACCAACCCTGGATCCAGCTCTAAAGACTCCAGTTCTGGCTCCAGTTTAAGCTCTGGTGGTTGCTGCAGCTCATCCACCTGTCTAGGTATACCAAGACAGACAACAGGGCAGGACTCAGTGAGCAAGGTGGGGTGAGGATAGAACAGCAAACCAGAGGCCATGTCTCTAGTCTAAGAAGGCAGTAGGGTTCCTCCACCTCCTGAAGGCTGTAATTACACCTAGCCTTGGAATCAGGCTTGTTAAGGGTTTGGATCCCAGCCAAGCGTGGTGGCGCACGCCTTTAATCCCAGCACTCGGGAAGCAGAGGAAGGATGATCTCTGTGAGTTCAAGGCCAGCCAGGTCTACATAGTGAGTTCCAGGACAGCTGGAGCTACAGGGAGACCCTGTCTCAAAAAAGACAAAAAAAAAAAAAAAGTTTGGATCCCAGTACTTGGGAGGCAGAGGCATGGATCTCTGTGAGATCAAGGCCAGCTTGGTTTACATAGCAAGTTCTAGGCCAGCTGGGGCTATATGGAGACCCTGTCTCAAAAAAAAAAAAAAAAAAAAAACCCACA